AGTTCCAGGCTGGCAGGAATTAAGAGAGATGATGCTGGTCCAAGCAATTTAATGGGAGAGCCTGGGGGAGATGGAGTGGGCTGCACGTGGATAACGCAGCCAGGAGAGGACAGTGAGACACCCCAAACAGGGAAAGCCACTCGTTTCTAGAGGAACATTTGAACGTTTTGTATTTCCAGTACGGCCCTACATTAAAAGAAACCAGTATTTTCCTGGCACTCTGAAGATTTAGAGAATAAAATAAATGGAAAATGAATGAAATGGAAAATAAATGAAATAAATGAAAAGCACCCAGGCCTCCCAGCTAGTCCCAAATCCAATGAGATTTTTAGGCCAGAATCTCCGCAGCCCCACCGGTGCCTCCCCGCCCGCGTACCCTGTGGTTGACGCTGGTGAAGGGCGTGTTGTCCGTGATGGTCTCGAAAGGCCAGCGGGCTTCCGTTCCCGTCCGTGGGGGCGGCCACTTCCCAGCTGAACTGTATGGAAGACTGGTTGATCCCGGCCTCGCCGCAGCGCTCCTTCATCAGGGCGTACTTCCTCGCCGCAGCGCTCCTTCATCAGGGCGTACTTGGGGACGTGAAGGTCACAGGGAGTGACACAGACGAGGGGGTAGCCTGGGGAGGGGGATTTCTTCGCACCCTCCTTGGTCACTTCTTCCACGCGGTCGTAGTGACCAGCCACGGTGACCACCTGTGGGAAACCAGAGGGCAGCACTCAGCTGGAGCCGAGGGAAAGGGTGGAAAAAGCCATCCACGCCTCCCACGTTGCCACGGCAGCCCCACTTTTTCTATTTCCCAAATCCCACTGCGGTTTCCACTCTGTGCTTGAAGGGCACCAACTCACATCCACTCACCACGGGAGGTGCTGGGAGAATCGGGCTCCCCGCTGCCTCCTGATCCAAAATAGTCACTGTGGCAGTGCTGCTGTCTCCTAGAACTGCTTCCACAGGATCATCTGGGCCCAGCACCAGAGAAAAGGACTCGTGCCACTCCCGGTCTTCGTTGGACATGATCTCCACCTTAAACATGATGTGGGCCACGCCTGAGGGAGCGAGTACAAGAAAAACAGAGAGAAGTGGATTCATCACCAGAGACTGCTCTGAAGTTCTCATCCGGACCCTGCTCCCAGCTGTGACCACGGAGACATTAGGATAAAATACGCATTATAAATTTTATTTCCACTCATTGCTGCTAATAATTTACCCAGAGGAGCCCACTATAAACATAAAACTCCAGCTATGACAACTGATCCAATCGATCCGGTGATAGATTTACTAGCAGATGCCATCTGAGTGAGGGCTTCTTGGTCCAGCAACGTGGTCTGAGGTGTTCACAGGCCTATGTTCCTTCAGGAGGACTTGACTCTGCCAAGTGCCAGCGCTTCCTCCTCTGCTCTGATCAGCCTTCCTTTAAACACATCAGCTAATTTTGAGTAACAACATTACAGCAAACTTCATGCTTTTCCAGTGGCTTTTCCCAAACCTCCTGGAAGTCCCTGGCGCGCACAAAACGTCCCTGGTCGCATCCCCACCTCAGACCCTCCCCGCCAGGCCCCTTCACCTGGGCTGAACTTGAGCATCCAACTCTTGGGGTAGTAATCCACGCCGGCCTGTGCCGAGCCGTCGCGGGCGCTGCAGCGCACCTTGGACGTTCTGTTCTGGTCACCTCTGCGGATCACCGGGATGTTCAGCACAGCCACTCCCTCCGGGCCCGGCGGCTCCCGGCACCTGGTACGCGGCCTCTTCGAACTCGATGCTGGGGGCTGCAGGCACAGCAGGGAGGGGAAAAGCTCCGGGTTTGCACCCCTGACTGGCTCAGCTCAGCTCCTTTCAGACTCGTCTACACGCCTTCGGAGCGAGGGGCTCCTCAAAGCAGGGGCCAAAAAGGCTTGGGTGTGACTTAGGGCAGAACTTAACGAGGGCATTGGGTTACAGAGGATGGCAAATGATTCTCCCATCCCTGGCATCCCTCTTCTCCCCCCACAGATCTCTCCAGGCTGTGATGCTGTGGAGGGAGAGGAACATCTCCCAGGGGAAGCACAGCAACTTCCAGCAATGGAAACAGGAGAGGTGGTGCGTCTGAGCTCTCTTAGCCAAGCCCTCCCTTCAGCCCAGCACAGGGCTGTGACCACGGCACCGAAGGCATTCACTGCAGCCCTGGGACTGTGCCGACTCCCTGGGAAGCAGCAGGACATCCTTGCAGAGCAGCCTCACTCACCATCTTCCTCATTGGTGACAGTTACGGTTGCCACGTCCATCTTCCCAACCCGAGCTCCGCTCCAATGGTTTCCAAGGGGGCTACTCAGATAGACCTGGAACTGCTCTTCTGGTTCGAAGGCAGAGTCATCACTGATGTGGACGCTGCAGTTCTTCACCTACAGCCAAGTGAAGAGGAGAAAGCAGCGCACACTGATACATCTGATAAAGCCCCGTAAAGGCCAGGCTGTGCCTCACTATCCAGGGTTGCTGTCCATCCTGGAAGAAACCCTTCTATTTTTAGGGCTGCTACTTCAGTGTGGACAAAGCACAGCCTGTTACAGGAGGAGACACATCAGCAAAGACATCTCTTTCCACAATCCCACAGCTCTCTGTAGAACAACCCTGAGTCCTCCTGATGCATCACATTTACATTTCATAACGTAACCAGTTTCAGCATGAAACGCACAGCCCCTTCAGAGTGGCTCACGCTGCTAGGACAAGAATCTGTGCCACCTGAAACCAGCCTGGACAACTCTGCCAGCTCCCTCTGACGACAGAGAGCCGAGGAGGAGACGTGAACCTCTCTCCCAGCACCGGTTCTTCGCTCCCCCACGAGGCAGGTCCAGCTCACCTTCTCCCCTTTGAAGAAGGTGACGCGAGACTCCTCTGCATCCCTCCTCTCCGCGAAGTCCTCCGTGACCTGCGCCGTCTGGCTCCGCGTGTAGCACCTGACGGAGGACTCGTAGCTCAGGTCCCCCGTGCGGAAGATGGGGATGTGCAGGGTCCCTTCCTTCTCCTTGGCCGTGTAGGTGTCCTTGGTGAACTGCATGCTGGGCACTGCAGAGGGGCAGAAACAGAGCCCAGCAGAGCTGAGGATCCTCAGGGAGCCAAGGGGCCAGAACAGAGCAGATAGAGCTGCCAGGGGTAACTTACCGTCTTGGAAAATGTCGTTAATGGCCACGACAGCCTGGAACGGCTTTGCCAGCTCGGCTCCGTAGGGGGAGCTGAGGTAAACAACAAATGTCTCCAGCCCTTCTATCACTGGGTACTGAGCATCGTCCAGGATTGTCAGGGGGCAGAACTGGGAGGAAAGTGGAATTCCTGCTGTTAGACGTATAAAGCTTTCATCCCTCTCAGCACTCACATCTGGCAGTCTAGTGTAAAGCCATTATGTCACTGGGTTTTCTGAATCCATTAATCAATGCAAAGAACGTTCTACGTGAATCCAGCTTATCATTTCAGAGAACAGGGCAGCCATCCTTATCATGGAAGAGGTGGCACGGCCAAATCTCTCCTGGCTGGAGTGCTGATGGGATGGGAGTCTGTGCTTAGCAGACTCATTAACAGTTCTCAAGTGGCCCAGCGAGGATATTCAAAACAAATGCTAGATATGCACAGAAACACAAGACAAGTGTCACCAGGCAAAGCAGACCCAGCAGGAATCCAAGTGGCTCCTCACCTCTTCTGTCTTGCCTGGCCTGAACTCTATTTTTCTGGAGCTGGGGACATAATCAACTCCCGGGCTGGCCGAGGGCGGGTCTGACGTCCGAGTGGCACACCACACCGACGTGGGCGTGGAGAGGTCGGGTCCCTGCCGGAGCACTGGGATCTCAATGTGTCCTGCAGCAGCACGTGCACATGAGAGAGAACAAACTGAGAGAGCACAAACTGAGAGAGCAGCCACGTTCCACAAACCCCTGCCTTGCCCTGCAGCACTGCTCCTGCCCCCAGGCTCCCCCTGGGCACACAGGGAACCAGAGCCCATCCGCACATCTCTGAAGTTCTGCTGTGCCCCGAATCGCTCCTTCTGGCACCTCCTGGTGGTGAAAGCTTCTACAGTGAGCATCCCAACACGACCACCTGCTCCTCACCTGCAGCCTCGCTGACAGTAAAGGTGGCATTCCCCAGGAACAGCGTGGAGGCGTCGTTGGGACCGGCGATGACCGCGTTGGCTGAAGCCCGGCTGCCGATGCGGGCGCTGTTCGAGGTGTCGGCCAGCACCACCTCAAACTCCTCTTCCTCTTCATATTCGCTGTCGTCGATCAGAGTGACATCACAGGTCACCAGGGTGACACCTGGCCCCAAAATGAGGCGGCTCTCATCCGACAGCCCCCGGGACTTGAAGTCGGAGCCGGATTCCAGCACGTGAAGGCTGCTGCCCTTGGCCGATTGGGGGACGGTGTAGCAGATGCAGACACGGTGCTGCTGGCATCCCCTAGGAAGCAACAGGGAAACTCCATAGATCTGTGGAAATACTTTTAATCTGTTTGCTGGAGATACTGGTCACTTAAAAAATAAAGCAGCATTCGGAAAAGAGGGCGAGGAATGAAAAAGAACACCGTCCCTGCTCCTGAACTTGCATGGCAGCTGGCTTAGACAAAACCGGTGGCACTTGCCTATTAACATGCAGCCCAGTGACAGGGTCCACATAAAACACTGTCTAGGTCACAGAGAAGCAGCAAACAAATACAAGGGTTTGCTCCTGCTGGGAGCTGAAACAAATCCAAACCCAAGAAGCTTTAACAGCAGAGACAGGAACAAACACACTGCGTGTAGCTTGACGTTTCACAGTCGTGCCACATAACATCGGAGAAGACCCCAAAACCACAAGCAGGCACAGCCCAAGGGCTCGCTCTCTGTCACGAGGGTTCCCCCATGGCCCTCCCATGGGGCTCAGCATGTCCTGCCCAGCCCGACCCACCTTTCCTTTGCACGGGAGCCGAGAGCAAGCCGGCGCTCTCGCTGACGTGGAAGGCGTTCCCGTCAAACTGCAGCGTGGGCTCGTCCTCGGGGTCCGCGACGGTGACGGTGGCCCGGGTGACGTTCCCCAGCAGGGCGTAGGCCGGCATGCTGAGCTCTACGGAAAAGCTCTCCGTGCCCTCGAACACGTCGTCGTCGTTGATGGTGACGGTGGCAGGCCTTGGTGTCCTCCCGCTCCTCGAACTGCACCTGGAAGGCAGAAATCCGGCTGCTGTCCTTGGACCGGGCTCTGGAGCTTCCCGTCCTTCCCGTCTCACCCTGCTCTGAGGCGTTCCCTCTTCTGACAGCAAATAACTCGCGTGACTTTAGGAATAAAACACACCCTCCTCGGTGTTTTTAGCACTTTTTGTCTGTTCTTTCCTCCAGGCTCTGTGTGAGGCAGGTGTGGTCGGGCCCACCCACCTGCCCCGCATACTCCACGTAGTCCTGCTCCCCGGGCCGTGATGCGGCTCCAGCGGTGGCCGTTCCCTGCTCGGTGCGGCACAGGACAATGCTGTACCGGTTGAGGTTCCCCACCCGCCTCACGGCGACGCTGACGGAGCCGGCGCTCTCCCTGACCTCGTAGCTGGAAAAAGGGATCGAGCACACACAGGTAACGGGCTGGGGAGCAAACCCCGTGCGGGGCTGCGGGGGTGAGCGTGGCCTCCCTGGGAGATCCGAGGAACAATAACAACCGGGGACTTGGGCGCGGGGCAGCTGCTCCACGCTTTAGGCCCCTCTCCTCACTGACAGAATTGCCTTCCCATGCTGCAGGGAGCTCAGCTAAGAGCCCAGCCCCCAGCCAAGTGCCCCTCGTGCCACTTACCTGCCGTGAGTAAAGCTGAGAAGGGACCGCTGGACGTGGAAGACGTTGCCGCTGACCACGTTGAGTTTGCTGTCCTTCACTAGGAACTGAAAGCTGTCCGCGGTCTCCTGGACCATCTCCTCGTGCGCCACGTACCGAATGAGGCCCTGGTTCACATCCTCTGCCGGGAGGGAACGTCCAAGGAGTTGGGACAGAAATCCCAAGGCAGCTTTGGAGATGAGCAGTGTGGGTCTGCACGGCCACATGGAGCGAGGATCACAGGGAGCAGTTACCCCCTCACCTCCCCTTCCCTCAGCCCCGCAAGAGTGAACTCTCCCCACATTTTGCTGGCTCTGCACAGCTAGCCACACCACTGTGATGAACACCTCCTGCAAGATCTATAACCCCTCTTCACTGCCCCAAGTCACAGCTCCAGCTCTAACAAGCCTGGAGAACCTGGGACAAGCTGCAGGACACAGGTTAAAGCAGCAGGACACAGCCCAGCTCCATACCCTGTGTAAAGGTGGTCACAGCTGTGCCCGGCTTCAGCTTGTTCTCCACGTGGCCATTTCTGGGACCGGCTGTTATCTCATAGATCAGCTGTTCGTCATCTGTGTCAGGATCTGTCATCAGTAATTCCTTCTTAGTGAGTGATGAGATTGGTGGCCTGGATTAAAGCCAAAACCAAGGGAGTCAAACTGAAGCTCCAGCAGTGCAAGTCTGATTGACTGTTCACACAAAAAGCCCGACCATCCCTCTGTTAAAACAGACAAAGGGAAAATCTAGGGATGTGAAAGCACAGAGCGGCCTTGAACTGAGATATCCCACAACGTGTTTGACAACACAACAAAGATTCAAATTTTGCCTCGCATCTGGTTTAATTAAGCCAGGTTTAGTTTAATTAAGAAGACAGATGTGGCTCAAAGAAAAGCAAATTCCAAAGCAGCTGCCCAGCCTTATTTAGCTGGGGCTAAAAGCTAGGACAAATCTTTGGGTTTAACTTAGAAAGTTCTGTTCCACGAGCTGTGCTGACGCTCAGGTGAGGCCCTGCTTGGCAATAAAACATCTGCAAACAGCCTCAGATTGAAGGACTCACTCAAGACAGTTCGCACAGCCTTGGAGAGCCTCCAGGAGAGCACTTTTCAAATGCCCTCAGGTGGATCTGATTCAGTTCTACCACATTTTGCTTTCTCTTCAAAAGCAGAATGTTTTTGACAGCAGGAGAAAGAGAGAAAATTGAGCTGCTCGAGGAGCAGGAGTGCTTTTCCTGAAGTGAGGAGTTTGAGCTGAGATAGCCATTTCTTAATGCAATTTCTTACTACAGCGTTTTCCACTCATTTTTTTCTGGGAAGAACCAAAGTGTTGCTTTACAGTTAGTGCTGGCTCCTCAGAAACAAGCTGAGAGTTTTATGGGGTTTTGTTTGGATTTCAGCACAACAAAGGCATTTGTTTCACAGCAAGAAACTCCTGCACCGTATCCTTGGAAAGCCATCTATCTCTGCCGCACATCATCAAGACATCTCCACCGTCAGCAAAGCTAAAAATGTACCCTGGGGAGGGTATTCTCCATCCCAAAAATCAAAGTGCTGAAGGATGAGGATGCTCTCCTGCGAAGCCCCTTCTCCTGGAGCAGCCTGAGAAGCAGCCCAAGCTGAGGCCAGGCAGCTGTTACCTTGCCATCCGTGTACTCCAGTCACTGCAGGCCCAGGTTGGTGACCACCCTGGGTGTCCCGTCATCCACAGGGAGGATGTCCACCTGGAAGCGCTGCGGTGCTGCCGTCACCACCTGACACCAGTTCAGAGACACGGGGGTTACTGTGCGAGTCAGAGCCTCAGCCACCACGTCACCAGCTCGGCTCCCTTCGGCTCTGCTGGCAGCAAGGGCAGAGTTTGCAGGGAGGGGAAGAAGCAAAGACGTGACCGAGAACGTTCAGTCAGCATCTCAGTCCCCCCTGCCCCGAGAGGAGGCACCTCCCTGTGAGCTCCCAAGGCCCCCTCCCATCCCTTCTCCTCCCTGACCTTCTTCCCTCCCTCCTGCACCACGAAGAGGGGGCTGGTGCCGTCGGAGACGGTGAGGGTGAAGCGGTCCCTGAGCGCGCTGCCGCCGCCGTGCCTGCAGCTGCCGCGCTTCTGGTAGATGTGATGTCATCCCTGGTGAAGGTGGTGGCCTGCAGAGGACGCTGCCCGCGGCCGCTGCGCTCCATCAGCCCGTGCCGGGGCGGCTGCACCGCCCCGAACGTCAGGGACTCCACCTGTGCCCGGACATGGAGGGGCAAAGCTGGGGACACGACCTCAGGACACTGCCCTTCCAGCTCAGGAGGCCCGGACAGGGATTCTGGCCAGGCAGCTCCCCTGCGTTGGTGTTCCCAACACAAGGGTTAGCACAGAACATTCCTGGTTCCCCCTGAGCCCCGCCCTGTCCTTGTCCCTCTCCCAAGGGATTTTGTTTTGTAGGTGTCTCCCTATAAAACAAGGCACATCCCACCGAATTCCTGCTTCAGCTGGTCTG